CAGTCAACATTCTCGGATTTTCGGATGCGCCCCGTTCTGTGACGCGTAGATCGTGTTATAGTTGTTATTAAGAATAGGCGAAAACAGTCATTACCCACGCCAACAAATACGTACCTATCAGCCAACAAGATTGGGAATTGTTTTCTATATCTTCGTTGCGGAACGGTTGATGACGGTTCGGCGTTAATCAGTTAAACGAATGAAGATTAAAAATTGGAATGTTAGCCAACACATCACACAACAAAGACAAAGGTCTTCATCAGCTAAATTTTTTGCAAACGATTTGAACATCTAGACTAGTGGGAATATTTGTTCACATTACAACATAATCAGGACAAAAGTAACAATAAAACTTCTAATAGTCTAGTATTAGCAGTTGCTTCGTTAATTTCTTCTGACCTTTATCAATACATAAGTGTTGAATCCATGTATGTGAATCTACATTCTCTGTACGCGATTTTCACATTGAACTTTCAATACTTATACGCGGTTTTGGCGATCATTGAAGAAAATATTATCGAGTTTAACCGAAAAGCACCGCTTCTCTACTGCTGACAACAGAATGAGGTCTATCTGCAGTGAAGCTTCGTGAAGATCGCCACTTTTAAAGCGACCTGGTAAAAAGGTTTATAAGGCTAAATTATGTTTTTTCTGTTGCGTTCAACAACAAAGGACGCCTCAACGCAGATCGTAATTATTAAATTGAGCAATTTTTCTGTAAATTTCTGCTCATATACCTCAATCTCGAACAGGGACCCGCACAAAGTGAAGTGACTTTGCTTCGGGCAGAAGCCCAGAAAAGCTCTTCATCGGTTTGTTAACGTAAAATCTTCTATCAGCTAAATTAAATTACAGTTTCTTTTGAAGGGAATGCCCAGTGCAAGTTTTGTTGGTACAACAAGTTGCTCTTATGTGCCTATAGTTATCGATATTCTGACTCGAGTTATCGAAATATTCGTTTACTGGGTAAAAACAATAGCGAGACTGCCAAATAAGCCATTTGATTTAAGCATGACTTGAATACAGACTGGGCGAATAAACAGCATATAATCAAGCAAAACAATAAAGCTTACCTGTACTAGCAATTCGGTGCGTAACAATAGCCCGGCTGACCGAACAGTCGAGTCTTTTTTTCTCAGATGAGAATCTAAAAACAGTTGCTACCACACGAAATTTGCGTTAGCGGGTTACGTTTATGAGCCAAGGGTTATCAGCCGACTGCGGCATTCCTAACAAGCCAATCGGGCAAGAGATCGTCGATGATAATTAACATAGCATGTTTATATACGGCCTTCTTAGACAGCTTCTATGATTTATATATGGATATGTGGTGATATGAAATCTCCTATATTTTGAGTCGACATCACAGCGTTCATCTATAGTATGTTGTTATACTTAAGTAGCAATGTATAATTGTTACAAGCGAACTGGATAATTTTTGAAACTGAATAATTATTCAACTAGGCATCGCTAGCAGACAGAACTTTCTGAGTGGATACCCCAGCTTTCTAGAAAACTTTAGAAACTGGTCAGGTTTTTGTGTCTGTGAATTCATCGAAAATGGGTGGGGGAACATTAGGAGAAGGAGACCTTCGGCAAAGGAGCGGCGGTGATGGATCATTTCAAGAATGGAGCTTCGGGACCTAAGAAGTGAGAACACACTGTCGCAATCAAGGGAATGTCTCATGAAAACGAAGCTTGGAATGTAGAACTTTAGCTTTATGTATAACCTGTTAGAAACATCTAAGCTAAGCACCGAAAACGCAAAAACTGGGTAAAAATGAGCCGCCCATAAATTGACTCTAGGCTCGAGAGATGTGTGCAGTGTATTGCACAAGCCATTTACGAAACTTTGATCAATAAACATGTCTACACCAAACGGTCGCCACAGATAAGGCATAATTCAATGTTTAGAGCGAATAGTGTGATCCTAAATCCATGTCGAATAAGCTGTAGTGATCATAATATGCATTTACCACTATGAAATACTTGCTGAGAATTAAGAAATGATTGCGGTTTGCTATCTCGAGTGGCATACCATTAGCACGCAGTCTCTCGACTACGTCTCGGATTTAGCAGAGGAATATCCGATGCTGACTTCAGCCCGCCTATTCTAGGTACATGCAAGTGCGAGGCTTCCCCATGCCTTCCACATGCGAGCATTTCCATGCTCGTACTGGTGGGCAAGCGTATCTTACTGTCGATTTACTTCGATACAGTTCTAGATAGACAAATTGCATATGCTAATACGAATGGTACCTATATGGCTCCTACGAGCGGGATCCTTCTTACACCTATCAAAAAACTATCCCCAATAGCATAGCCTCCAATATAGCCCAATTAGCTGAAAGTTTATTCAATTGCAAAGTCTACTGGGTTCGTTCGCAGCAACCTAACAAACGTAACCGATGTACACATATAACCATTTTTGTTAGAGACATTTGACAAGCGTCTAATTTGAATATGGAGACATCAGTTACGATATAGATAATATCAGGTCAATCTCCCTTACGTTTGCCAATGCCACGTAATAATAATAATAATAACCATATTCTTGTCAATCGATTGTGAGAGCCAGCATCGTCTTATGCATGCTGAAATAATTTTGAAGCCGTTTTAATAACGACGATGACATGGAAAAAGCCACAGGAAATCGCGTAAATGGACGACGAGCAAGCCAACGAAAGTCAGGTCCAACTCAAAGTCAGGCCAAATCAGGCAGACAGGCGCACACAGATCCGCAACTTATTCCGTCAGATGACTACACATAGGACTGTCAGTGAGACCCGAATGATGACCACCTACTAGTCGCAGTCGTCCATCTTTATTTGTTATATAAATGGTTACGTATATGGTCTCGTGATTAATTGAGTTTGTGCCTAAAAGGATACAACTATCAAATTTTTACACAAGGCTGAGAGTCTGTGAAGAAAATGCGAGAGAGAGAGAAGAGATGTGATTACTTGTAAAAATCACTTCTGCCAATACTATTGGGAAAACAAATGTTAATATAGAGAATGGACGGATAAGATGGATCGCTAGTTATGGCTTGCCGGCCCTTTTCTTATTTATCACCCGAGATAAAGAAGGACTTTCGGTTTCTACAGAATTTTCATAGTCAATTATATAATATTGCATAGGCCAAAAATGACTGACGAATTGATCGTTTTCATAAAAGTAACAAACAAGCCTTAACGATTAAAACGATTGTTTTTGTTGAATTTACCATTAGCGTAGGTTCGGACTGCCTATGTAGAGGAATTATATTGTAATTAGGTAAAAATTACTTGTATTCTTTATATGTTTGATGACAACGGTCGTTTGAAAATAGATCTTTTCTACTATCTAGGTTAGGTTTTCGAACTGCAAAGATTGAAAATGAAATTTGTTTCTGTTCCCTGCTATTTGTATTTCATTTTCCCCTGTATACGTGCGCAAACAAACTCATCCCTAATAAAATAAGTGGTAAGATTTATTCAAGTTTTCAGAGAATTCTAATTCTACCAAACAGTTTCTGCGAAGCTTCTATCTCGCTAGTTTCCTGGCAAGATACCATGTGTTCGAACTACACGGATCTTAGATCGGGACGACTCTCGTCAATCGTTGGAGTACTCTTACTTTTGCCGCCATCCACTTTAGCATGGCGCCACTGTGCGTTCAGAACCACTATTTAACGCTCGTAATACCGGCTGTTGTTCCTGCTGTTGTTCCTGCTATTGTGTCAATAAACCGAATAGCGGTTGGCCACAGTCGGTAGGCCTCAATCTACCATGTACATTTTTTAACCTTATATTTGATTCAACATGAATACCGCCTTATTACCCTTCAGTCGTTTCACATGGTCCTGCCTCATCTGCGGCTATGGCACACTCCGCCATGGTAATACGCGCACTGTTGTTCAATTTAGCTGTGAGGCCTCCTATAGTATGTCAATTGGGAAAACGTTCTGTTCGTGTTCTCGGAACGATGCGCCGGGAGATTCCTGATAATTCCTGCTCCATGCAACACCTATCGAGTCAACTCGATAATGATTACTATGATCACGTAGCGTAGAGGAGTCCAAGATCATTTCAGACATAATTCATCCAACGTATACTGCGTTCACAACGCCAGCGCTCTCATGGACCGAAGTGCATTGAACTCGCTACAAATGCTTCGTTGAGGTTAAGCGAGACTGATGCTGGTTCTGCTAGCTATATAAACTCGAATTCTCTAGGTAGCTTCGCATCTTATGGAATCATTTATGCGCGCGATACGTGATCGTCTATTCAGACGCCAAAATAAATCGCTCCTTTAGGAAAAGCATTATATTATATAGTACTAATATAATGTATGATCTCTTTCGTGTGCTATGTGATTCATTTCATCGTCTTCTAATTCGACCATTCATGTTTAGCCAATCAAAAGTCGTATGAAACAGCCGAGTACAAAGCAATCACATATGTAAAATAGTTTCTTGTAGATTCCGTATTCAGATTCTCTGAAAAAGATGTAATTGGTCAGAACACTGAACTGACAATAACAGCGAACACTCAGTGCATGGGTATTAGATGTGAATCAACAGGAACTTTCTCAGAAGTATTTTTATCTCCATTATTATGCCATATTGTGGTTAATTCTGATTTGTTGGCTAATGTTCTTAACGTCTTACCACACAGAGCTATAAACAGAGTGCGAATGCATTTTCCGAGGTGGCTCGTGTTTCCCTAGCTATATGAAGAACTTCATATTGAGAATTGGTTGAGTAGGTTTCTGCGGGCGATTTCCTCAATACGCAGTGATCCACAGGCGCTGACCTAAGTGGCAAGAACTTTTACTCTCATAGCTTACAGAACAATGGCTTACCGAAGGTGAAGTTGAAGGGCTGCTGTTAGATCTGATTTTCATTTATTATTCGATCTATGGCAGGCCCACTTAACCCAGCTGGCTTCCACATGGGTCTACTGACAACCGCAGAGGAGTACACTTCCGGAGGCCCCAATTGTCTCCCTGCCCAACTATCTGACGAGTCACGCACACATCTGCTGACGGTATGGTGTCCTGATTGACTCAACAACGCTCACTCATTTGTTAGCAATAGGAAAATAGAGAAGATCGGTCCATTCGTATCGTTATTTTTTTTTCGTCCAGCAACGGACAGAGCCAGCCGTGCGGACGATCCATAAGCTACCCCTTGTTCTTATCGCCTTATATCCAAACTATTAGCCGACTCACAATAAAGACAGCAAACAAAAATGAAAAGCAAAAGTAACGGCAAAAACCATTAAAGCAAACCCAATGAGGCTACCAAAAGCAGTATGAATCTATTTCGATGTTTACTGCTTATAGTCATCTCGGAACTTGAATCACTAGCTCCTTCGTTACTCGTCCCTGCTTCGTGTCACTTCAACGCGAACGAGCCAAACTCTTAATCAGTAACCTCCCAGGACATTCGCGACATGCATACTTTTTTTCCAAAGACGTCGACAGCAGCCATATCGCTAAGCGGAAGCTGGAAAAACAACCAAAAGTAGATTTTCACCTTTAGGATTGTACATTGCAGAACGACACAAAGACAAATCGATTTTGTCCTGTAAGAATTCTCTTTACTACGTCGACTTTATTCTGTTTAAACATTTCGTTTGACGACGCCATACGAGTTAAACAGCTCGTATCGTTTCCAATAATCGCGTAATAAACAAATAATATAATAATAATAATAAACAAATGGCTATTCCAACAACACACAAACCGCTGTGTAAAACAGAGTGATTTGATAAAAACTATCCCGAAATAACATAAACATCAATCAACACATAGATACGAACGCATCACCACAAAGGAACTCGCTAGAAGGGTATATATATATCATAGATCTATTGTACAAAGCCGTAAACGTTCGTATCTCTAGCATATAGCCTAGATTAATTGCAACTGATGAATTGGCACGTTAAGAGCTAATTTGGGTGGAATGGTAACCTGTTATTTGTACCGATACGACCATGTACGAGTATATGCAGAACCTGCCTGTAATCCTATGATAACTCACTTAGTAAGCTTCAACGCTCGGCGAGCGTTGCGCTACGCTGGGTGTAAAGGCGGGCATTGGTATTATGAGCGAGCATGCTATGGCGATGGTTTAAGGTACAAGCCTCATCAGAAGCATAGGTTCCACTCTTAGAAATTCTGAAATGATTATTCGAAATCGAACACTTTGCACATAAGTGAAACAGGCCACGCTGCGTCCAGTATATCTGTCCAGTTGTCTGGTCAAGCCATCGTACATTTTTGTAGTGCTAGTTTAGCAACATATGGCCGGCCAGATGTCACGTCCTTTTATAGACGTTTTTGTTCGATTGCAGTGCCACCGGAAGCGCCAGCGGATACTATTAACTTTCACGCGATCTGGGCCTGGTGTATTCGACGACCCAATCGTGACGACAACAGGCGGCTTTCCATGGTAACTGCAGTAGATAATCTCGTACAGCGCTGATGCTTGCAGATCGATATCTGGCGTTTGAGCAATGCGGATGGCTGTCGGCGAGATCAATCCTATCAGTCGTATTATTTTACGGCTCAATATACAGGTTAGGAGGACAAAAGTGATGACTGATAGGAGCTACCTACAGTGTCATTTGTCCGCATAAACAATCAACACCAGAAGCTAAAAAGGCTAACAAAGTTCGGCTACCTGCTCAACGAATGCTTTTAGTGTTAATGCTCCTCTAAATCAAGTAGTAAGATTGACCTCGGCGTACTTGAGTAAAAACAAGTGGTGGTGATTGAATCGCCTATTCCTATTCGTTTTTTAGTTTTTTTTTTGGTAGTCGACACGATGTCGCTGCGATCTGTGATAAGTGTATCGTGGGACGAGCAAGCGATCCGAGCGCCTCGTTCATTGCTTTCGCCGAACCAGTTCGTACCAAAATACTTCAAATGAATACAGGCAGATATCGCACGAAATCACGAATAACAGCACCAAGGGTCGGACGTCATTGGGTTTTCAGAGCGATTTCTGTTGTCATTTACAATTTATCATACAATTTGCTATCTAGTCCATTCGATGTATTCACCTCAAAGATCGACAAATGGATGGTGGATGGATACGGTTTAAGTAAAGTGAAGGTTTCTTCACTTCTGTGAAGTCCTGGTCCCGGGAACGCTTTCGAAACCCGCCTGAGCTATTGCTTGGCTGGCTGCTAGAAATCATTGCCTGTATTAACGAATAACGGCGCACTCAACGGCAACGTGTCAATAACTACCCATCATAACAACAATGTATTGATTTTTAATTTCAAGATACTAGAGCTCGCTTACAATAAATATGAGATTTTTGTCGTTTCATACGCGTTTTACCAAAAACCAGCTCATACTTCCAATAGATGCGTTTCGGCCTCATTGAAGATACTTAGAGACGTTCGCTGTCCGGCCACCCGTCTTTGGCAGACTAGTGAAAAAAGTATGATCAATTCCACATTACAACCAAATCGTGTCGTGTTTGGGTGCCAAAAGAACTATTAAACTTTTGGCAAAATAAAACTATCTATCTTCAATCTCTAATAGCCTGATGATTTTTCAGTCATGTTTCAATTATGCACGACTTAATAAATATTCAGGCAAAAAAAGACGTTCACGTCCTTCTACGAAGCAGATCATAGGTGTTACACTATCGTAGTCAAGTAGTTACCTGTCGTAAAGTCAACGCGATAATTCAATTGTATGAATTTACACCGCGACACTGAGCTAATGTTAATTATCCATTTGTGCAGTAGGGAAACGTATATAAATTTAGTCCAATACAAGAAGCTAATATCTCGTATAGGGCGTAGCAACCGAATGGGGCCGGCGAAACTTTTTTCCACGTCCGATATGGCAAACGGAAGCAAAACAAGAGCGTATTCTTATAAGTTTGTACTCTTTTTCGTCTAATGTAAATAAACCAATCATCTGCTCCGGCCAGATCGTACAGTGTCACCACTGTATCTTACCCAGCCCTTAAGGGTCTGTTCTGTGTCCAACCATTGCAGTCCATTCGCGAGCCAGCTCTTGCGTGAGTATTGCCAGGCTCGCCTGAATAGCGTGCGTCCCTCCCGCCAGCATTAGCATCTTTATTTTGCCGACCACCAAGATTACAACCACAACTCTAATCCAATATTTTCCGACAAGAGGATTACTACTAGCGCTACTATTGCTTCAACAACAGCGGCTATGACAGCGACCTCAACGAATATCTCTCGCTGAACGCATCTTTAAACGCGTCTGTGTACATCAACGCTGAATTACGCTCGACAAACTAATCCCTGCCTAGACTTCCTCTTTCTGTCGTCTCCGCCCGAAAAAACATCGCCGACAAATAACCGTCATTCGTTTGTTTGTCCAGTGGCGGCTCCCTGCTTCCAAGCTTTTTTTCTGTGTCTCCAGAATTTCCTATCTGTGTCCAGATTTGTGGCGACGGCTCGGATCGGAGAAAACAACGCAAAAACAGATCATACGAGGGTACATGATACGAACTAGTTTTATTTAGGGGTTGAAGAGAGGGGGCCGGACGACGAGCGAGCGTTACGAAGCAACAGCGGCAACTCGCCGCTGGGATGATCTGCTCGCTGGACCGCGATTCGTTGTAGCCGATCCCCCGTTCCACTAGGGCTGGATAGACAGAGTCCAACACGATCTGTCTTCCATTACTACAGCCATGTGACAACTAATTTTATACAACAATCTCACAATAGTACCCATAGCTTGGCAGCAGAAGCGACAGCAGCGGCGGATGTAGTCTACCATTTTTCCTGTACTCCTTACTTTATATTGCCACTACGTTTGGACTGTCTCTCGTTGTTTCTCACTGTATCATTCTAACTTATTACGATATTGTGAACTAGTTGTGATAACTTACAAGACAAAGCATCGTATTTTCATGAGAGTCACCGGTTAGAACACTGACCGGACCACGTGAGCAATAAAACATGCATTAACATACGGGATGGTGTACGTAAATGTATATGTATACAGTTACGTCTATGAAAAGGTCTAAAGTTACATTACTTTTCTAGTATACGATCCTGCTAACACGATTCATCGCATTGTTTACTGCCCCAGAGCTCTTATATTCCAAAGCCTGTCGTAGACGCTTCAGAACAGAAGCCTCAGAGACTTCAGCCAGCGAAGCTTATGCTTTTCAAACCCTTTAAGAAATATACGAGTACGTATGAGGAACGGTTAATTATTAGCTGCTTATTTTTTTTACCCCGTCCTTTCAACGGTAAAGGCAAAACTATTGCAAAGATAGAAACGCGGAAACATCGTGTACGTCACCTCACGGCCGACAGACAGTCAGACGAATCCATCAGCTGCCATCTTCATTACCTCACACTTCTCAATATGGTGGGATCGAAGTAGACTGAGGTGTTGCGGTCGCCGCCACCTAGCACGTCTGCCTCATCGTCGGCAGGAGCGTTAAACAGCCACAGACAGACAGACGCTTGTAATAGAATGGTTTAAGTAGTATGTATCAATAGCATCGCTATATTCAGTTGATTTTTCAATTAGCTACGGCATTTCTAGCGCTACTGGCGTATTTTCGACATGTCAGCTTCTGTGGCTGTATTTTGGACGCTTCTGCCTTCTTCAACATGTCGTCTTTCGGAGTCATTCACCAAAAGACCGCCATATGTGCGCCCTGATAGACATCGCTTGTGGGGTACCCCTAGCTGAGCAAGCGAATACTAGCATTACTATTCTGCTGACAGAAGGACTGATGTTGTCAATAGGAAATGTCATTTTTTTTCTGTAGTTGCTAACACTTGTTTCTGCTTGGCTACTTTGCAAAGCGTGTGTTGTTTATATGTTATTATTAAGCTCTCGATCTTTCCACGTTTCTAACAGCGTCCATATGGTTTGTAAACATCTGCATTTCAAGATCGCATTTTAATCCGTGCACTTCCCATTGTTTCACCTTGCCGTTCATTTATTCGCTGTAAGTTAGTTGTGTCAACAGCTGCAAGTCCACTATCAGCGTATATATATATATATATATATATATATATATATATAGTTAAATTCGAGCAAAACCAGTGGCTGCCTCTGTCAGGAGCCGCATGAAGCAGGGCAAAAGTATTTTGCTTCGTGTCACCGGTTCCTCACTTGGCCAGCCCGTATCACGGTCACTGAGCCCGATCTTACTGCCGAGGAGATTTACCTCAGATGCGGACGAAGGAAAGCCGGTAATGACCAATATTATGAACAGCAATGATCATCGATATCAATAACAACGTCCTTTCGGGAACACTTGTCCAGATTAGAGAATCATAATTAAGTAAATAGCACAACCACTGGTTGCCGCTGGTATAAAGCCGGGAACTGTTGTTCTACAAGTGACGCTGCTGGATGTCGTCGGTCAGTGCATCAACGATTCTCTTTGTTAACTTAAGCAGAGAACAGCAGAGCTAGCAGGCGGCTCGCGTTTAGGGTCGATATACGATGAAGAAATACATAATTACTACGTATTCAGTAAAGAAAGGAAGTTCAGTACAAGCGTGGTATAAGGCTTAATTCTTGAAGACGGAAGTTCGCTTAGGACGCAGGACAGCGTTGATAAGGAAATAAAACAAAGAGGATAAAACTCTTGAAACTGTCATTAAGAAAAATTCAAGAGCCTGTATTGTTGTAGCGGGTTACCCAGAAATTGTCTCTTGTTTTAGATATTTTGTTACGCAATTGCTACTAGGTAAATGGACAATGAATGCAGAGCAAAAATAAAGCTGATGGTTTTATGAGGAAAAGCCGCAGATCTAGAATTCCATGATACACCTGCCCTTGTGCTTTTATATCTCTGTACGATTGGCAGCCTCGAAGCGAATAACTTACCACACTCTACGGACTCTTGTATGAATTCTTTAAAAACTACCAGTACTATCGAGTATAACCTTAACGAGCAGGGAGCTTTGATGAAATTCAAACATTTATCTCGATTACACTAACTTACAACTTAACAAATCGTTTTACTTACTGGTTAGGCAGATTCACATATCGACTTTTAATTAGGGTCAAAGCTTTTCTCCACGCTAGAACAAAAAAAAAAACAGCTGGTTACATGGTTTATAGATACTATTGTATTTTATATCCAGCTATCAGTTCGGGCTCGATAGGCGTCTTGATGCATACTGATACCAAACAAATTTATACACATATAAGCATGTAGACGTTTATCATAATGAGAGAAGATAACAATGCCCGGTAAATTAATGGCTCAACCGACGCAAAGGCACTATAATAACCAAAAACAAACATATTCCTCTAGATAGAAACTGTATCATATCTTCTTCTGGCCTTGACATGGTATGAGGCCGAGCGAATAGAATACTCTGCCATATGACGATTTGTTAATTGTAGCTTTTCTGGTGCTATCAGGGAAGGACGAGGAAAGGAAGCTGCAAAAATCTTACAAAGCACTCCGTGCTGACGATAGATGTCGGACCTCGTCGAGGCGTGAGGGGTAAGTGAACTAATACGCATAAACGACGTACCGACTAAGCGAAAGCACGAGCGAGAACATGGGTTCTCAATGCCAACCCAAGATATGTGGCGCACAATGTTTAAACATATTTCTATGAACCAACTAAATCGCGCTAGATAAATCCTAATCTCATATTTGTACTGCGTATAAATACCAAAGCAATTTGTCTAACGAATTCTATGCGACGATCAACATTTCCTGACCAAATTTTTTGCTTATTTGCTCCTAGCCATTATTACTGAGTAGCTGACTGTCAGCGTGTTATTAAGATACACGCCCAGAATCGAAGGAGTCCGATAATTATATGTGTCATAAATTTGGGAAATGTGACAGGATATACGTGTGACGCTGTTTAATAAAACATTGAAACGATGATCGCCATTGCGGGCCATTGGTCATGTAGCACACGAGATTGACCAATGAGTAAAAAGCGTGTTTTATCTGCCTTGTACTGTTTTAACACGTACATGCGCCTCCGTTTGCCGCCATTGTATAGCTGAAGAGAAAAACACAAATTCCACAAACGAAATTGACACCCGATGGGCATCGGCGTCATTGCGGCGCCCGCTGAGTCGCCGTACATGTCGCATGTCAGATAGCATAGCAGGGCCAACAACAACAAACTCTGTATCTACTTCGACCGCTATCATATCGCCAACATCTGATCTTGTCTCCATTTCGAGTATCAGAACACATGAGTATGGATTTATTCAGTTTGTTTCCTACTTGGCGAACGCTTGTTCGACAACAGTCTGCAAATAGGCATACCCACCATTTCAGCAATTGAGTGAATGAGTTTTCTTATCTGGCCAGTTATTGTATTGATCAATTGAAAACTTGAAGATATCAATGGACGTATGTCTTCATGGCGCTCATTGTCAGTTAATAACAAAATTAATTTAATGTTAAAATACATGTGTTACGCAAGGGATGTTTTCGTATTGGACTATAGCACTCGTATAAATAAATTAACAAAGATATGCTTAATGTAATGCCAGTTCGATGGTATATTCTTTAACAGCCGGCAGTATTTGACAACACCTTTCCAACCGCACTTACTTCCTGTAAAGCACTGATTGCATAGAGCAGTCTTGAAAACGACGTACTGGCAATAATTATGTTGCCCTTTTTACAAGTAGGTACACTTGGAATGTTTGGACCCATTTTGCTTTGATATCTGACCTTAGATAAATGGTGATGCATGCTACTCACACAATAACATAGAAACTGATGCAAGGTAAAGCTATGGATAGGATAAGGCCTAACGCCTAACGCCTAATTTGGCCATAAAAACCATTTTGCGAAAGTAGGTCTTCTGAAGTAACTAACAGAATTATCAGATCAAACGTACGTTTGTCAAAAGTTTGACTTATAGCCCAAGGCAATTACATGGTCAAAGTTATGTTGCCGTGTTATTGTGACCTAATGATATGGCGAGTGAAAAAAATACAAAAAATACTATTTTATATAGGAAATCTATAAAGCGGCCACGCGCTCACACTGAAGTCAACAACCAGAAGGCAAGCAAAATTAGGTAGGATTAAGACTCCTAGCCAGAGCAGCAACCGTGTATGTATCTATTATTACATACGGCAATTCCCATCATCGCCGAAACGAATAGGAAAATTAAGAGCAAAACACTGTGTTACGTAACCCGTGTCTACTGCTGATCAGATCGGATATCGAATCATAGGTGATTCACTTTTGTCCTGAACTTCTTTTCATGTCGTGCCTCACAACAATAGCAGGACCATGGGTAAAAGTAATAACAATCCTACATTGGAATAAACCAAGCTTGTTGCGAGGTAGCACTGTCTCGCGCATTTGTAAACAAACTCTATAATCTGCCAATATCACCATATGATCATCTGCTAGCTACGGTGAGGACCTACGGAATATCTGGGTATCGACCTGACACCAAATACAATATAAGCGTTCATTGATATTATCATGCGCCAGGGTACGTCGTTTAAGGGAGCAAATAAAGTACAGCACAATGCGCTAGCTGCGACCATTTACTAATTGCGTATATTTTTCCATAAATGAAACGATAGATTGTAGTTCTAACATACACAACGAAGTAGATAATCCACAATAGTTGTCGGAATCCGTCTGTTTGTGTCTGTCGTTGCAAGATTACGCGACTCTTGTTACTTTATCAGCCGTTAATATGATTAACACGCTCGTAGACATGCTGTGGCCCTACACTGTCACTGGCCAGCCTTCTCTGTTATATCGGTCCTCTTGTCCTTATATTAACACGGCTTGCTGTCCACACAAAGAACGGAACCCAAACAGGCGGACGACTTGATCGAATTTTCTTCTTTTCGAGACTACAGCTGGTAAGCGATTTCCCAGATACGTCCAGGCACGCAGAAATGCATGCGCTCTTCTAGGCAAGATCAGAACACTTTTATCCGCCACATTGAACAATAGCTTCAGTCAACGTCGTTGGTAGAAAGGAAGGCCAAAGGTTACAAATGAAGCGAACGACTTCGCGACGGCCAAGTCGTCGATAGTACCATTTTTGCTCCATCTCATCACCCTAGCCAAGTAGTTGTAGCACTCGCAGTGTTAGCTCTGGAAAAAGTGAACACTTCTGCTTGTTTACGAACGTCCCAAATGACGAAAACACGAAGAAATGTCGATAATAAGTGCAAATTAGACGATTCAATGTAGTTATCGAAATAGTTATCTTTTGTGAGCTAGCATTGTCGTGGCTGGGTCATTGCTGTCGTCACAGTGTGTACGCATATAGGTTATAGAGCTGGCGGGCTTTGTAGCGTACGTAGCCAAATGTTTTCATTGAACATGAGATAAAAGCACGGAAAAGGTATATGAACTGGATGAAAAATAGCCTTTTATTGTGTTCCGAAGCACCTTGAGCGAGCATATAATTATGACAATAATTATAACGATGACAATGTGCTACCTCTGAAGCCATTCCGTGGTCCGTGGAGCCTGAAGTCCTGAAGCCACAACAAATGGTGGTGCTCTGTGCCGGTTAATGGAAGGAATTCAAATATTCGGTATCATACAGAACTCTTAATACATGCAAAATTAATGAACTTCTAGTAAAAATGTGGGCACCCTTTAAACGCAGACAGAACAGAGGCATTTTGCATGATCCTCATTTCAGTGGAGGGAAGGTTCTACGTGTCAAGAATAACTGATTCTTTTAGGCATTTTGCAAAAAGAAAACATTCAACACGAGTGGCCTGGCTAAGACATCCGCCAGAAGTCGCTTGCTTCTTGAAAAGCATTCACCGAAGAAGCAAACGGGCTTCTACATTCAATGAAAACACGGAATGAAAGGAAAGTTCAATTACTACTATTCAAAGACTTCCAAACACCGCTACTTGCCAGATTGATTTAGGACAAAAAGCTTTAGGGCCAAGCGAAGAACACGTTTCTCGTTTTTAAATTTTATATATGTATATATACATATATATATATATATATTAGTGCTTAAACGCAGACTAGGAACTAATCAAGAAGAAAAATTAAATAATATTCTTCAGTTATTTACTCGTACAGAATGCCTTCATTGCATTGCAGATGGACAATTTCAGATTACTTAATAAAGGAATTTAGTTAAAAACAAAATCAAGCGATTACAAATAAAGGCAATGTAATATCTTGCTGTATAGACGTTTCAATCATCTGCTGAATTCGTTTTCCTCGAATCCTGCTTCGGCAAACCTAGCCTAGTAAGAAATAACGTTACTGCCAGGTTAAATCGGCACAAACGAGAATGACTGAAAGCTCCCAACGTATTCAGTTCCGGCAGGTGGCTATAGCGCAATAGTACTATTAGTGAAAACTGTTTAATAACAAAGGCCTGAATTTAATGTTGTCTATTCATTTCAGTTGCGTGCAAAGATTAGTGATCTTCGAATAGCGGTCAGAGGGGCTCTGTTAGGCTGACTCAATCCGCCTCTTGGAAACAAGTATTTGTTTCCAAGAGGTGGATTGAAGCTTACAAACTTCGTCCATGACCACAACGCTGCAACGATGATCAACCTATCACTTTTCTGATAACCGTCATAGTATTTTGTTGTGAGCACATTATATCCTGACATAGAATCATAATAGAATGTCATGGACAACATAACACTACCTGTAGCAACAACATAAAAGTCCCAGTGAAAGAAAGAATCTGATATTAATAATGGTAAAACAATTCAATAATATAGTAATTTCATGCAGAATTTGGGGAATCTTCTAGACGCATCCAAGTGCTCTGCTTGTAGTATGCCCACAACGTTCGGCACGTGATGCCACATATAACTCAGTTCCTATGTAATATCGTTAATAGTATTTAATGACCCAGGCGACCTAATGATGTTCAACAGTAATATCTCAGGAAATAAATCTATTCCCAAGCGTTTTCGCTATGGCAGAGGCAAATAACAACGATGTCGATGACATACGACGAACGACTGCGTTTTCGTATAGCAAACAATACAACAATGAAGGATCGATTCTGCCCTGTCATTTACCTTCCATGTCGAATTTAGGACACTTACCTCTGCGCGCTGTTCTCGCCGTTCTTTTTACTCGTTCGAAACTAGTCTACGTAATTTTCTCCCTACCTCGAAAAAATTATTGATCACGTTTCTGCGTAACCATATGCTTGCGAATAAGAGATTAGTGTTTCCAAGTGGCTGGTTCGCCTAAATCATTTGATACAGTGGCCGTCGTAACGTGTCCGTCTAACCGAGTTAACTGCGGATTCAACTAGACACTTGTGTTCCAGCTAATTTCATTATTAACTCCTATTTACCTTCCGGGTTCAATTCGGAATTTCTGTCCTTCAATTTACATCACTGTGTATCTTGCCGCCGCCGTCGTCTGGTCGTCGTAATGCTGCTATGCCTCCATGCTGTCGTTGCTGTCTCGGATGTGAAACTCGCTGCTATGAATGTGGAAGTCGTGTTTTGAAGTTGCGCGGGTGACTGATGTGCGCGAAACCTTTCTCTCGTGAAAATTTGAGCGAAATTTAGAACTTACCATAGCGCGCTCTGCGAACGTGAGAGTATCGCGTTGTATTATGTGTTATTGTTTATGACGCACTGTTTTTACGGCGCACGTCTGTTGTCGAGCCACCGTGGCCGAATTCAACTGCCTCGAATATGCTTACCGTTTCTTAGACTTATAGGGCTCACAAACGATTCTCTCGCCTTGTCGGCCGACGAAACTCACGCCTGGTGATGTCTTCTAGTCGCATACCCGGCTTACTTAATTATTCACCGGTTGAAACTTCTGCTTTCGTTTTTGACTCAGATCAGATTGTCCGAGTACGATATCGGACGAATAGTTATTGAATGTTGTGTAGGAAATACATTCTTGTGCTCTTCTAAGGCCTCACCTAGTCGGGAAGTGTAGGCTAGTTCTAATAGCGGCTAGTTGGATCTCTGCGCGTCGAGTCAAGGTGCTCTCGTGGGCTGTGACCACAGTATAGCTTATAGAAGAATCTGTTACCGTGTGCCACGACGAATTGCCGGCCCCTTCAAAAATTCTTGTGCCGTGTTTATCCAGCGATTCGTTTAGTTTCCTATGTCGTGGCCGATTATCACTAGTGCCTACATGTCCTCCATTTATTCTTTGTCGGGCGGACCACTGGTCCGTTTATCGTTCTTCCTTTCAGTTATTTTATTTAGTTGTTAATTAATTTAATTCTGTTATATTATCCCCTATAAGAAATATTCAATATGCAGAATAGGCGATAAGGAGAGGTAATATACAATAAAGCATGTTAAAATTCTGGTCTTTTGCTACAACGGCACAATTGCGGCAGATTTAGAAAAACGTCTCATGTTGTTTTTATAAGTTCTGTATTAATGCAAAGTGACGTTTGCATATCGTTTCCATTTTTCCCTTCGTAAAAGTAAAAATACTATGTGTGGTAACTGTCATCTGCAACCTATATATCCCCTGTCTGCAACGTAAAGTTACCACTGATTTGAATGCCCTGCCGTCAACGAACAGGAACTTTGCACCCACCAGTGGGCCAGCCTTGCGCCCATGTATTCACGCCATAATAATTCAAAAGACGTTACAAAAAAATTGCGGGCGAAATTTGATAGAAGTTAACAAGATTGTCGGTTTTTTAACGAATTAAAGATAACAAAATTATAATTTTTAGGCTTGACTGCTGATGGAATCGACTGTGCGCGTACATGAAAAATTACATGAAGCTCCCCATGCGCGATATTCAATCGCCAGAGAACGTCCCTCGCTGTCAACTCAAGCAACTTTTAGAGCACTATTAAAAGCGTTCACGGACAAACTTACGTTGCCTTAAACATAAGTTTCTGTGGCGTTGGGCCAAGTAGCATAAGCCAAAAAGGTGTGCAGTTTCGTGGCCTTTTTTCGATTCTTAAATATAACACACTGGTACAGGTACAACGGTTTCCAAAATGTAGTTCTAGTTCTTACTATCATTCTCGGTAGCGATTGATATAAACAGGCCGCACAAAAAAGCAAAACGCTAAGAGCAATTTTAGCTAAAAGATACAGAAAAGCAGTACAAAGTTCTGCGTCTTAACGGTATTTAAAAATTTTCAGTACAACCCTCGTTAAATAAGCTTGTTTTGTTTTTTTTTTCTATGGCTCGAATATTATAGGAACACTGTTGATGTTCAATATCCAATTACATGAAATCTGTACCATTGAATCGTTTATTTGACTACAGCAGATTTGCATTGAAGCCGGCTCAGCGGGTGCTTTTGAATAGTCTTCAATCTCTGGCCATCATTAACTGAAGGTACCAGCCAAGTAACTGCCAGTGACAGGTTGTTGCTTAGGACTTTTTATAATTATTATACAAATACATATGATTATCAACGTATGGATGCGCTGAGGGTCTGTCCGATTTTTTGCACTCATCGTAAAGATTTTTTATCTGACAGAAGTTGTAGAATTGACACTAAAAACAACTCTTTGTTATATCCATACTGATCTATTAAAGTTATACACGTAGAAAGAAAAGCAAGTATATACATATAGAAACCAAACATTTTTCTAAAGTTTCTTTTTTATGTCGTTCAAGTTCCACGTGTGATATGTGACTCACTCCGTTTCGATCATTTCTTGCTAGCTGGCGACCACTATATCAAGAGATTTTCGAATTTTCTCCAACAACCCGCCATTAGATATTTGTTCGTGTAATATTTTGTTATAGTAACCGATACGAAGGCTACAAAAACACAATACCAGGTTTTTTAGTCTGCTCGTTAAAATTTGTGAAAAATGATAATCTCCACGTTGCTAGCGTTCATAGAACATACATATCGATGTTATAGAGTTGCTGGTCTATTCGATTTTGTCTGTCTGCTAGACTGCGCGACAGTTGTAGTGGTACTTAGCCACATTTAGAAAACATTTAAGCCAGTGAATAATTAAGAAACCATTATAATTGAAATATATGCAGTGGACTAAACGCTATCCATTTATCCCTCAGATATTGCGGTGGATTGCTATAAAGAAATTCACCATTCATAAATTTTAAAAAAAATTGTAGTGCGAAAGTTAGCAATAACAGCTAGTAAAAAGCAAGGACAACAACAATGATGACGCGCTAAAAAGTTGATAATACTTTACTAAAAACAAGCAACACAGAAAATTTAAGCAAATATTTTCTGTTATATAAATATCTCTGAATCTGTAGTAAACGTTTATGATAGCTTTATGACAGTTTATGAATAGGAAAATGGTTCCAACAATGTGCTCGAGCTAATAATAATATCTCAACTTCTACGCGTGGGACTACGTTAGCACTGCGTGACGCAGGCTTGGCTTGCTGAAAAAATATTATGTTGACAACCGTGTAAATATATCTGGCAACGTGTTTTGAGATCTAGAACCTCTTCTAGATAGATTTTTAACCTATAATCTCACATCTTCAAACAACTGCGTGAGATCGTGGAGTTCACATGCTTCCCATGCTTAGACATGCTGTTGGAGTTACCCTAGAGAATGTTGTTTAAATTTCTGTGTATCAAAGACAAAATTAGCAAAAAAAAAAGAGCACCAAAATAACAAATATCGAGTAGCGGGAGCTACTTTTTCCTGATACCGAAAACTAAAGTTTGGAACCGTTTCTAGCAAGAAAAATACTAGATATTATCCTATCTTTTATTAACGTTTCTCAATTAAACGAGAACTATGTCATTTACGTTATAGTGATACGCAGTGCTTTGTTCTTGCCATTTATATTTCAAAGTTAAGGCTATTTTCTAAATAATGAATTGTATACTTCCTACTAATTTAGAGTATTTTCTTCAATCCGTTGGGAAAAGAATTATATTGTTATTGCCGATTGCTGAAAAAGTAAAAAATCACCACCTACTGCAACGGAAGATAAAATAAAAACAAAAAAGAGGGCTGCTGTGACCTGAAAGTTTTAAGCGTTTGATTCAAGCAAGACAAGTGCTATCGCGCATCTAGACAAACTACATAGGTAGTCGTTAGCCGTAAGTAGAGCTCTTATTAAAGCAAGGATACAGGAATAGTGCGATCTAGAGCGGGGCTGGGAATCTCTACTCTACGGGAAGACCTATGTTTTTTTGGTCGAGCGACCTGAAACGCTAAAGAAACAGAGCACATGGTAATGAAAGTATGATAGTTTCCAATTGCCAAGATATTTTTGTTAAATGCAAGAAACACAAGCAATAACTTTTTCCGAATTCGCGAACAATTAATAGTAGGCCAATTTAAACGCAGTGCAACTCTAGTAGCAAGTAAAGATTCGAGCTCAAAATAGTCTGCGCTACATTCAATCAGGCGGCACAAACGGCCAGTCATTGAATATATTTACGTGTCATTTCTGGGTTTAGCTATTACTTCCCAGAGATGCATAGCAGACATGTGAGTAGGAATTGATGATCCTGTCATGTTTGAAGCTAATAAATGTTGGCTAATTCGTATGATATGTTCGCAGTAGAAACCGCAGTTGTACCTACTACGTTGGCCTAGCACTAATGACCGCTTTTTTATCAGCCTGAGGACTGCTCATGCCGTTCTCACTGCTGTTTTACAAACTTTATTCATTTCGACGGATCTATGTTAGATATCCCTTTTCCGCGTTTTGGTCCGTCAGCGACCGCAGGACGGAGCTTAACATATCTACCGTATATCTATCACATACACTTACACGCACAAACATGCATCGATTTCGAAACGAGACAAAAAAATAAGAAATCATGGAACCAAGTATCCTCTCTACTGTTTTTTCGCTCAATTTTGACTATATCCTATAACTCTAAGAGGGTGCCATAACTTTCAGTGAACAGCGAACGAACCGAAAAGCCATACAGCGAGCTTTAAAGGTGATAGCTATCGTATCAAACGGCAGTGAACGTCATCGCGTTCGGTACTTCTATTTCGCCGCTGCTCGGGACGGCCAAACAGCCGATTCCTTGTTGCTGACGAGCTCTCGTGACCGAAACATCACCCGAAAAAACGCGTCGGCAGCACATCCTCATCGGCGGCTGACAGGGAACCAACGACAGACGAAAATGGTAGTCCCCGTGAGCTATCGTGTCAGACAAACCCAAACAGTGTTTATGCACGCCTGTTGAATCTCATCCTGTTGCGTTTTGACAGGCGCGAAAAGTTTTTCTTTTAGCGAATGAAAAAAGAAAAAAAGACAATTCGACATTAGTAAAAAAAAGTCTGATCACGGCGCTTGTTCGCGAGCGCAGATAACTCGCACAGCGGTGCAGAGAAATGAAACAGTACAAACGCTATATTATAGCTAGCGGAAAAGACAAAATAGAAATGCTGGCAATGGCAGTACTAAAGTGGCGAAAGCGATAGGGCTACAAGAATCAACGTTGTTGCTGGAAATTGTCTCAATAACAAAAAATAATAAGTATGATAGACCTAGTGTACGTGTATCTAAATAAAGGCGTAAACAAAGAACGAGACGTGAATGGTTAAAATTATAAATTATTATGTCACCTGACTAGTCCGGCCTAAACGTGCCTGGCTGGATGACCCAATCGTTTATACGAGCAAAAATGTCCTTAGTATACTGTTAAAGATTGAGGAACAAACATTGTATGAAATGCAGACATACGTGCACGATTTTGCATAGCCTAAGTCAAGGTATTAGAGTTTATTACATTGGGGGCACAATGAGGTTATTACAAGGGGCACAATGTCCACCGCTGAAAGCTTTATTAATACATTCGGAAGAGGAATAGGCTTAAAAAATCTAAAGTAACCCATGTCATTAGTGAAAAAAACGGGTCGTATTAATTTGACCGCTTCTGTATCTAGTAGATTTGTCTAGAAGCCCCATGACAATCTACTCACTAGCCCCTGTAATACCCTATAATTTTGTTGTATTGTGTAAAGCTACGATCTTGGCCAATTCATGAAGTGTCGATGAAAATTGCCGCGTCGTGGTTGTTCTCCCTTAACTACTTTAGGCAAAATAGAAATACTGAAGTAGCCAAAAGTTTTGGTCATGCATCGTCACCATTATGGCACATGAGTACATCGAAGCGTTCAATTGGCTCATTATAGTCACACAGTCTGTCTGTGCCGGCCAAGGA